ACCCTTTAATTTTACTAAAGAGTGTTTAGAGGCATTTGAATTTCTAAAGGAAAAATTAACTAATGCCCCGATCATTATAGCACCAAATTGGAACTTACCCTTTGAGATCATGTGTGATGCTAGTGACTATGCACTAGGAGCGGTCCTTGGTCAAAGGGTTGATAAGCACTTTCAACCCATCTATTATGCAAGCAAGACCCTAAACCCCGCCCAAGAGAATTATACTACTACTGAAAAAGAATTGTTAGCCGTGGTTTATGCTTTTGACAAGTTTCGCCCTTACTTGGTTTTATCTAAAACCACTGTTTTTACTGACCACTCGGCTATCAAGTATTTGTTTTCCAAACAGGATGCCAAGCCAAGACTAATACGATGGGTGCTGCTTCTTCAAGAATTCGATATAGAGATACGAGACAAGAAAGGAATGGAGAATGTAGCGGCCGATCATTTATCTAGGCTCGAGAACCCGCAATTGCAAGAAGATAAGGATGGAGACGACTTTCCGGATGAATACATTATGGTGTCCGTGGGAGAGGAGCCATGGTTCGCAGACATAGCTAACTATTTAGCTACAAATTATGTCCCGAAGGATTATAGTAGTCAACAAAAGAAGAAATTCTTTGCGGAGATCAAATATTACTTTTGGGACGATCCATACCTCTTCCGAAGCTGTGCGGATGGAATTATAAGAAGATGTGTGTTCGGGAAGGAAAGCCGAAGAATACTAGAACATTGCCATAGCGGGCCCACGGGAGGACATCATGGAGCACACTATACCGCAAAGAAGATCTTTGACATTGGGTTCTATTGGCCTACAATCTTCAAAGATGCAGCCCAATATGTCAAAGAATGTGATGCTTGTCAAAGGGTGGGAAACATTTCATCTCGAAATGAAATGCCACAACATAGCATTCAAGTGTGCGAGGTGTTCGACGTATGGGGCATTGACTTCATGGGACCTTTTCCCACATCCAAAGGAAACAAGTACATACTAGTGGCGGTCGATTATGTCTCAAAATGGGCGGAGGCGCAGGCTTTACCTACAAATGACGGACGGGTAGTGGTACGATTCTTAAAGAAACTATTCTCCCGGTTTGGTGTTCCGAAGGCCCTAATTAGTGACCGAGGCACACACTTTGCCAATGATCAATTGGAAAAGGTGCTCAAGAAATATGGGGTGACCCATAAGTTCTCCACGTCATACCATCCACAAACGAGTGGACAAACTGAAGTGACCAATCGAGCCTTGAAGCGTATTTTAGAGAAGTCGGTGGGAAGCAACCGCAAGGAATGGTCGGATAAATTGGATGACGCGCTATGGGCATTTCGTACCGCTTTCAAAACACCTATTGGTACTACACCATATAGGTTAGTTTATGGAAAGCAATGCCATTTACCGGTTGAGATCGAGCATAAGGCATATTGGGCTTTAAAGAGGTGCAACTTCGATATAGAAGAATTGAAGACCAACCGTTTGATGCAAATGAATGCCCTTGAAGAACTCCGAAATGATGCTTATTCTAGTTCGTGGCTCTATAAAGAAAAGACCAAGAGATGGCATGATAAAAGAATCAAGAGCAAAGACATTCATGAAGGCCAAAAAGTATTGCTTTTCAATTCCCGATTAAAACTTTTCTCGGGCAAACTTAAATCAAGGTGGGATGGTCCCTTTTTGGTCAAGACGGTGTTTCCACACGGGGCTATAGAATTGATATCAAGAGACGGCACACCATTCAAAGTCAATGGTCATAGAGTGAAGAAATATGAAGAAGGTGTCCCCCGAAATGAAGGATTGGAGGAGCTGCTACTGTGCGGAATTGCAAACACGTAGACGGGGCGGAGTCCAACTAATGACTCCATTAAAAGAAGCGCTTCTCGGGAGGAAACCCGAGTTTCAAGTTTGCATTTTCTTTCCTTTTCTTTATTTTTTATTTTCATTCTTCTTTGTTTATTCTATGTTTCTAAGTGCTTGAGGACAAGCTATGCTTTAAGTGTGGGGTGGAGGGGCTAAACAAATGAATTGATACATTAAAATTGGCCAAATTACAAAAATTTTCAACCTGTGACATCTACTCGGCGAGTATATCGACTATACTCGGCGAGTAAATGCCTGATTGCAGCCATAAGTTGATAACACGCGTGTCTACTCGGCGAGTAGACCCATTCTACTCGGCGAGTAGCCGGTTCAAACCCAGTAAAATAAAGCCTGTAAAAAATGTTATTATTCACCAATTCATCCCAACACTCGCCGAGCACTTCCTCTCAGCCGCCTCTCTAAGCATTTTTCAAGATCTCTCCAAATTTCTTCTTCTTTCTCTTCATTCAAGCAACAAGGTAACATCTTTACCCTTTAATTTCATGAAAGGTTCAATCTTTATCACATATCTTCCCATATTTGATGTGATTTCGGATTTGGGGAGTTTTTCCCAATTTTTAGGGTTTTGATTTACTCATGAATTAGATGTTGTTAGGAGTAATTTCTTCAAGATCTATGGTTAGATAAGTAATTACAACAAAACCCTATGAACAATTTGGACTATTGCACAGATTACACAGATCCGATCTCGATCTGTCAAGAAGTTCATACTACTCGCCGAGTAGGTTCGTGTACTCGGCGAGTAGGTCACAATCAGATCATAATTTTCCTGTTTTAATTACTGGGTGTTGTTTGTTGCTGTTTTTGATATGTGTATGCAGATAGCATGGCAAGAAGAGGTCAATCCTCACGTGGGGGAAGCCATGGTGATATGCCATGGTTAGCCTTTCAACAAATCACCTCCAAATCATCCAAAACTCGAGCCCTAAACAGGTTGGAAGCACTTCGACAGAAAGAAATCCACCTACCGAATGCAGTGGATTGGGGATGGATGGGCAATGTTGGCTTGGAAGAGGAACTCACCCCATATTTGGTGAAAGATTGTAACTTGGGTTATGCCAACATCACTTGTGATGGTTGGTTGCAATTGTTCAAAATCCAAGAGCCGGTATACGCGGAGTTGTGCTGGGAATTCTTTGCTACCATCTCATTCCGAGGTGGTAGTGAGTTTTACAATCCTAACACGATCTCGTTTTCTTTGGGTGGGGAGCTGCGACAATGCAGCATGGTTGAGTTCTCTTGGCGGTTGGGCATCTACGACCAAGACATGGCGATGACGGATTTTTTTTTTGAAGCCTTCTTGGAGAATACATACAAAGAACTTCCCGAGGAGGTGGTGGAATCAACATGGTGGAGTACAATTGTTAACCGAGTCTACATACCTTCCACTGCTCAAGAAGGTCATATCCGTTTTCCGATCCACCGACTCATTCACCGATTCGTTGCAAGCACGATCAACATGCGGAAGGATGGGGACAAAGTTCCCACCCTTGATATCTTCTACTTGTGGAGTATCATCACTCCCGACGTCTTCTGCAACCTTCCGTACTGCATTGCTAAATTTCTTGCGGAGGGGGCGGTCAAGGAGAAGATAAATTCGAAGATAAATGGGGGCATGTTCATTACTCGGCTTGCGAAATCATTTGGGATCTTGGATTTGCCGCAAGCTCAAGCGCTAACAATTATCCACCCTCCTCCGTTCAACACTGCACTTTATAGGAGGGCTCGGATAGTTGAAAATTTTGGTGATTCCTTTACTATTCCGAATGAAGATGAGCCGGCGGTCCCCGAGGAGGGAAGGCGGGTTAGGCCAAGGAGCGAGCGGGTACGGGAAGACCCACCGGTTATTCCGGTGGAGGATAACGAGGGTTGGAACCAAGTAGAGTACCGACACTACTTGGATGATATTGGGCGAGGGGTTAATTACACCAATCAATCCTTCGAGTATCTTTTCCAACAAATGCACATTGCCCGCGACCTGGACCCGGCTACCCTTATATTATGGATTGGGACGAG